GACTGAGAGGGAGGGCTGTTTTAGAAGGGGAAGTTTTCCTTGAGGAGCTAAGACACGAATGTGAGACATGACCATTGACAAACACATGATTTACGATGAGCACTTATTTCATAGATTTGAGCTTCTCCTATGGCACAAATCATAAAGATTCAATTTTCTTTCTCTTTTTTCTTTTTTTTTTTTGAGATGGAGTTCTGCTCTTCCTTCCCAGGCTGGAGTACAATGGTGTGATCTGGCTTACCTCAACCTCCGCCTCCCGGGTTCAAGTGATTCTCAGCCTCCTGAGTAGCAGGGATTACAGGCATGCGCCACCACACCTGGCTAATTTTGTATTTTTAGTAGACACGGGGTTTCTTCATGTTGGTCAGGATGGTCTTGAACTCCCGACCTCAGGTGATCTGGCCCCCTCAGCCTCCCAAAGTGCTGGGATTACAAGCATGAGCCACCATGCCCAGCCGAAGATTCAATTATTTATTAAAATCAAATACCAGCACAAAAAGCTATCAGTTAAAGGTAACATGTTCAGGAGTACTAAAGATTAGATTGGCTGGGCCAGGTGTATTGGCTCACGCCTGTAATCACAGCACTTTGGGAGGCTGAGGCTGGTGGATAACAAGGTCAGGAGTTCGAGACCAGCCTGACCAACATGGTGAAACCCTGTCTCTATTAAAAATACAAAAATTAGCCTGGTGTGGTGGTGCATACCTGTAATCCCAGCTACTTTAGAGGCTGAGGCAGGAGAATCGCTTGAACCCAGTAGGCAGAGGTTGTAGTGAGCTAAGATTGAGCCACTGCACTCCAGCTTGGGTGACAAAGTGAGACTCCATCTTAAAAGAAAAAAATTTAAAAAACAGATTAGATTGTCTGCAATATTAGATTTATTTTGAAGCCCAAACAGCTCCCAGTAGGTGTGGCTTCAAAATGAAATGATTCAGATACCTCTTGCTTAATCTCTATGCTAATTACTTCTGGGATATGGATTATTTGAGTAATCTCACTTCACTGCTAAACTATAACATTACCAGCAAACTGGCAAGGAGAATTCTGTGTAAAAACAAATCCATTCTAATTGTTCTTTGAAGAAAAACTGTTTTATATTTGTGATTCATGATAAAATCACACATGTGAAAATCACATGTATGGGCAAAGAAAGTTGACAGTTGCCCTGAGCAAAGCAAATTTAATTAGAGCTTCCAGTGGCTAGAAAACATTTATTCATTCAGTGTTTATAATTGAAACATGAATGTTGCTCATCTTCTGACGTGAATTTAAAACATACAGGACTTCAGATTTGCTCCCTGATATCTGAAAAAATCAACAACAAAAACACCAGTCAAGCTTCATTTATAAGTATAGATTTTTAAATAATACACTTGATTCTCTTTATAACATACTGTGATATTGTGCTGGCCTAGAGCCAGAACCGGAGCAAAACTATTTTATAAAATGCAAAACTGTTTTTAGATAAGTTGAAATGGCTGCCCCATTCTCCTCACAATAACTACTGTCCTTGGCCTCTGTAAATAGAACTGCTAGTTTGTTCTTCAAAACTATGTAAAGCTGCTTACCTTTTCTTATCAGTAACTGCCAGAATTGCTAGCCTTTGCTTACCGGCAATTGCCAGACTAAGCAGCCCAAGCTAGTTCCATCCTGGCTCCTGTGGCTTGTAATAAGTAACTAAGGTCTGTGATTTCCACCTTAACCAGATAATGTGTAAACAAATGTTTATCTTGACTTCTGTAAACCACTTAAGTAACAAACGGAATGACAAAAGTCCCCTGGCCCTTGGAATGTCCGGAGACCCCCACCCTCATCTCTGCCCAGGAGGTAATTTACAGAATCCACTAGCCCTCGGAATGTCTGAAGCCTTTTCATCCCCATCCCTGCCCCTCACCCCCACTCCCAAGGTGGTTTTTCGGGTATAAAAAATCGTGGCACCCTCCTGTTGCCACCACAGGTTGGAGAGACGTGAGTCCTCTGTGGTCGCCAGCATAATAAATGACCCTGCAATCTGGCATACTTTTGTCTTGGTAATAACTTTCTACGCTCCGGTCAAATACAACAATAATTCTGTCACTAATTAGAGCCAGGTTTGTTTGTATTTCTTCAAAATTTGAAGACTTGAAATTCCTAAGGCAGAATAACAGCATATGGGAGAGGAAGCTACCAACGAGATGGCTTCATGTCAGAAAGATGTGCTATCAACTTAGGAACCAATGAACTTTAAAAAAAAGAATCATGCATGAGTAATACAGAGTAGAATCTGGACCTGGACAGAAATTTGAGCCTCAGAAAGTGAAACATAGGAGGAGGTAGGAGTGGGTTGGGGGTCTGGAGAGGAATGGAAATTTTCAGGGGTATTGGAATTAAACAAACTCTAGGTCTCTTCTAGACCATCTGATTCTAAGTGTTCAGACAGTGTATTCTAAATAATAAAATATTATTATTATTATTGACGGAGTTTCACTCTTGTTGCCTAGGCTGGAGTGCAATGGTGTGATCTCGGCTCACTGCAACCTCTGCTTCATGGGTTAAAGATATTCTCCTGTCTGAGCCTCCTCAGTAGCTGGGATTACAGGTGCCTGCCACCACGCCTGGCTAATTTTTTGCATTTTTAGTAGAGACAGGGTGTTACTGTGTTGGCCAGGCTGGTCTTGAACTCCTGACCTCAGGTGATCCACCTGCCTCGGCCTCCCAAAGTGCTGGGATTATAGGCATGAACCACTGCGCCTGGACTTAAAAGTATTGTTATTTAGAAACGGGGTCTTGCTATGTTTCTCAGGCTAGTCTCGAACTCCTAAACTCAAGCTAGATTCCTGCCTCAGTCTCCCAGTGCTGTAATCCCATACAGGCGTGAGCCACCACACCTAGCCTGTGTCAACTGGTTTTTTTAAACCAGCTTTACTAAGATATAATTTATATGATCACAAATTTCACCCAATGTAAGTATACAATTCAAGGATTTTTAGACAATTCAGAGAGGTGAGCAACCATCACACGATCTAACCCATTTTTTCAATGTTTCTGGTGTAGAAACCATTTTACTTTTCTAGTATAAAAGTACATACCAAACCATTAAGATCATACAACAAGTATTAAGGATGCAAAGTGACTCACTGAAAAGGTATGTAAGGGACTTGTACTGGCAACTGCTTTACTGACACAGAAAGAAAGAGGGGAGGGTGGCTAGGGGCAGTACAAAACAATGGTTATCAGCTAGGCCCTAGAGTCAGACTGCTGGGGTTCAGATTCTGGCATCCCTACTTACTTAACTGCTGTCTGGCCTCAGGCATATTACTTGAACTCTCTGGGCCTCATCAGTTTACTCATCTGTAAGAGGACAGCACCCTGCTTTATGGGGTTATGAAGAATAAATGAAATGCTATATGCAAGAGGTTCAGTAGAGTCCTGGCACATAGTAAGGATTCAATAACTATTAGCTGTTTTTTCTTTTTTTCTTTCTTTTTTTGAGACAGAGTCTCACTCTGTTACCCAGGCTGGAGTGCAGAGGCGCGACCTCGGCTCACTGCAACCTCCGCCTCCCGATTTCAAGCGATTCTCTTGCCTCAGTCTCCTGAGTAGCTGGGGACTACAGGCATGCACCACCACATCCAGCTAATTTTTCTATTTTTAGTAGAGACGGAATTTCACCATGTTGGCCAGGATGGTCTCGATCATTTAACCTTGTGATCCGCCTACCTCGGCCTCCCAAAGTGCTGGGATTACAGGCGTGAGCCACCATGCTTGGCATAGCTGTTTTTACAGTTATCACTGGATGACTATTAAATAGCCTTTCATGAGCCAAACATGAAAGACCACATGCTCTGATTAAATTTATATGAAATTCTAGAAAAGGCAAATTGGGCTGGGCGCGGTGGCTCACGCCTGTAGTATCAGCACTTTAGGAGGCAGAGGCTGGTGGATCACCTGAGGTCAGGAGTTCAAGACCAGCCTGGCCAACATGGTGAAACCCGTCTTAAAAAAAAAAAAAAAGAAAAGGCAAATCGATGTTGATGGTAGATCAGTGATTGACAAAGGTCAGGGAGCGGAGGCAGGAAATTGACAGCAATAGGTCACAGAAAACTTTTCAGGATGTTCTATATTATGACTGGGATGTTTTGTAAATACTTGTCATTGAATTATACATTTAATTTGGTGTATTTTTCTGTATTCTGCATGTAAAGTAAAGCTGACCTCTCTACCCCAAACTTGTAAAGATTTACCTTTAAATTTTCTATTTACCTATCAGAAGTAGTTTCAATTTTCAAATTCAGCCAACAAATATCTGTTGAGCACATACTATATGCAAGACACTGTTCTATCTAGGTGCTGGGGATACAGTCTTGAAGAAGACAGCATCCTACCCTCATGGAGTTTATAGTTCAAGCACGAATTACATAACTACATTTGGAGTTACAAAAGGGGTCAATACAGGATGCTACGGGGAGAATACACTGTCAGGGTAGGGGGCGGTAGAGGAGTTCCAAGATGTATAAATCTCTGTCTCGTGTTTTTTCTATTTTTTGAACACAGAAGCAAACAGAGTCCTTCCACCTAGTGTCCTGGCGGGTGGTGTGTCAAAGGCCTCTCGGGGACCAGTGACCATGACCCAGGGGTGCCCTCAGGCCACACCATCTGCGAGATGCAGTGCCCATCTGGCGAGGGAAAATGACCGGCACCTGACCAAGGGCTAGGTGGATGCTTCCACGGGCCCCAGGTGGGGCGCTGCTTTGATCTTGGTTTTGTCATCCCCGCACTCTCTAGCTTCTTTCCTGGTGTGCCCAGCCTCTGCAGAGCACGTGCAGCAGGTAATCTTAGGGAACCCTCCGGAGGGCGTGCCGGACCGGGAAACTTTATCTGGGCGGTGACTTCGCCCACGTGGGCGGGGCGGTCGCCCGCTGGGGGCGGAGACGCATTGTGGAAGCCTGGTTGGCTGCTCCCACGCGGGCACAGGCGGGCGAGCCTACGGGGGGCCGGACAAGTCGCTGGCCCTTAGCGCGGCGTTCGCGGAGAAAATGGAAGCTTTAGGGGCTTGCCGGCTTCGGGGGCGGGGAAGCAGCGTAGCTGCATTGCCCCGCCCCGAGACCAGGAGGGAGCGCCCGGCAGTCCTCCTTTCTCTGTCTCTTGCACTGGGCTGAGCCCGGAGCCGAGAGCGGGAGTCGGCTCTGAGTTCCCTGCTTGGTTTTTGGGTGGCAGCAGCCGGAGGAGGAACATGGCGCTCGCAGGCAGCCAAGCGGAGCTGAAAGCGGACGAGGTACGAGCCGATGGGGAGTGCGGGTATGACCCCTGGAGCCCGGGACTGGAGTCCCGGAGACAAGAGCCAGCCGGGCTGGCTCGGCCGAGGCCCCGCCCCCTTGGTCCCCTCTCGGGGGTGGGCGGGCGCCGGCTGTCGGGTGGGCGCGCCCGGCCTCGGCAGGTCTGTCCCGGCTAGAGCTAGGAGGATGCCTGCGGCGCACTGAGCGGACGCGCTGCCTGGGTTCGGGCCGCCGGCCCCGTGGGTCGTGGGGATGGAGGACCCGCGTCCCGCCGGCACTTAGATGGGCGTGAGGGCGCGGGAGCGGAGGACCCGCAGCTCTGACCTGTTCCGAGCCGGCCCAGCGACGCCTGGGCTTTATGAAGTCTGACCCTGACGTCCCGACACTGGCCCTGTGGGTTTTCTTGGAATCATCTCTCGACCTGGGAATCTGACCTTCTATGGAAGTTTCCTGGTGGCAGAACCGAAAGGCTTGAGATTGATGAAAAGAGGGGGCAGCCGGAGGAAGTACGAGTCAAGGGGTACCTGCCACGAGAGCAGGGCAGGGCTGCCGGGGGTCGGGGCCGGAGGGCGGAAGCCGCAGCCCAGACTGTGGTGCTTCCCCCTCCCTCCACCGGGCCCGGACACTTTCCCTAGCGGGCCCTCAGAGTCGGCGGTGGCCGGAGGAAAAGCGCTCTGAGAACCGACTCCGGCCTCCTTTGGTCTCAACTGTGTTTAATTAGCCACTTCTCCCGTCGTGGCGCGCCCGGGCCTGAGCACGCAGGGGAGGGCGTGCCGGACCTGTTGATTTATTGACTGTTCCTTTCAGCACCTGGCAGCTCCAGAGACAGCGCTCTCGCTGCGCTTGAAGTTGAGACCGAGGCTCCAGCAGCAGCCAGCACCCACAGCTGCTGTTGCTGCCATCTTACCTGACCTGAATTGTAGGAATCGCTTCCTTTAGAAGGCTTTGGTTTCAAATGATGCAATAGTGGATGAGCTGGAGGAGGCGGTTGATTTCCGTCCATCTCTTTAATGCCAGGAATCTCCTGACACGGAATACTATAAATGTGGGCCGTAAAATAAACAAAAACAAAACAAGAACTGAACTGCAGCTTCTTCCATGACTGAGAGACATAGGGCAAGCCAGGCTGTCCAGACCCTTGGTTACAGCCTTCCCCTTGAGTTGAGGGTCCCAAGACTGTAGAGTGAACTATTTGAATCTTGGTCTGTTTGTGGGGAAAGATTTGCTGTACTTAGGGCTATATAATTCTCTAGATTAGGGCATTGTTGCTATTATTAATTAGCACTGGGATAATAGGTGTAAACTGGTACTGTTTCCAATATACTTTGACAAATCGTCACCCCAGCTATGCTCACTGCCTACAAGATGAACGCTAGAGGTGCATTAGCTGATGACAGAAGGTAGGTTTCTGTGGGTGAAACTGTATGGGAAGTTAGGTTTCAGAGTAGCAGAGAGCCTGGCACATAGTACTTGGTAAATAAATATTTGTTGAATGAATGAAAGACTGCAGAAAAGATGTTGCTTGAAAGCTCTCAGTTTTTGCCATATCATTCATGTATTTTTCTTCATTCATTAACTATTAGGCTTCTGTTACGTGCTAGGTACTATACTAGTCCTAGTTGATGAGCAAAATACAGACAATTCTTTGTTCATGCCAAATTTACTTTTGTCCCTCACAGCATACCACTTCCATTGCTATAAACTAAGCAAGAATTTATTGAGCATTTACTTTGGGTTCCAGCTTAGTAGTTGCCTTAGAGAAGACATAGTTTTGCCTCTTTAGGGTTCTCAGTCTGATGAGGGAGTTATGACCTGTGTACCAGAACTCTAGGAAGGAGATCAAGTAAGTGTGAGCAAGTAAGAAGTTGTGGATACACTTATTTGTAGAAAGTCCCTTACTGTAAATGGGCTTGAAGAACTCCAACCTTGAGTTCATAAGACCCAGTTCTTCAATTTTACTGGGTGTGCAAATAGCTTATTTCAGCTAGGAAGCTGTTCACACATTTAAGAAGAGTCTGATAGTCTTTGTGGCCATATTTGATATTGATAGTTTTTATGGCCATTATTTGATATCCTGGGGAAATGAAAAGGGACAAAGTGGTATAGTTGGAACAGTACCAGTTTGGGTTTTAGGTCACCTGGTTCTTACCTTTCTTTGCCCATAGTTGTTAATCACTTATGTGTGTAAACAGTTATTTAGGTGCCAAGCCCTGTACTAGCCTGGAGGTACAACAGTGAACAAAACAGACATGGTCCTGCCCATGATGGTTGACCTTGGTTGATCAAGTCTCTTAACCCCAGCGGGCTCTTTCAGCTTCCTTATCTGAAGAAAGAGGGGCTGGATGAGCCCTGAGTGTTCTTCTAGCTCTAAAGATTTAGGCTGTTTTTGAGGGGCAATGGGGTGTAGAAGGTTGGGGCAAGGGAGTTTCTTTTGGAAGAAGGGCTAATGATATGGAAATCTTTTTCTTTAAAAGTAGCCAAGGAATGATAATGGTAGAAAAGCTCTCATGGTAGCTGTGGGATAGAGGTTTTCTTGGGTAAACTGATTTTTTTTGTGTTTTTTTAGGTGCTGGTATGATAAATTTGGGAGCATAGAAGTTAGAACTTGCATCCTCTTTGGAGGCAAAAATTGGTTATTGGGGAGCACAGCATCTTAGATATTATAATGGTTCGTGGCCCTTTAAAGCTCAATCAACAAAAGTTTGTTTCTTAATATTTGAATTTCTCTTACTGGGTTTTCTTAGGTATTACACTAGCGACATTGATAGTGAGTTGATGGAAGATTGTTCAAGGTCAATCCAACAAATATATAACATAAAGATGGCTGTGATTGGAGGACTTTCTCTCTTGTCAGTTGCCTGATCTTGAAGTCATCTTGGTTGATTACCTTCACATACTTATGAGGCACCTTTGGGTGCCTTGTGGCTTGCTTATATTTGACCCTCAAATATAAGGATTTGAGAATTGAATGAAAATTGTTTATATTTTATTATTTAATTCCATTAAAGTTAGTCAATTCACCAATAATTAAGTGCCGAAAAGGAAAACATTGGACAGTATTTGAATGAATATCTAGCAGCTAGTTAAGTTAGAAATTTTCTCATATGAAACAAAAGTTAAGTTCACTAAAAATCACTTTTCAGCCTGTGTAACACAGTGAAAACCTGTCTCTACAAAAATAAAAATATAAATAGTTAGCTGGGCGTGGTGGTGCCCACCTGTAGTCCCAAGTTATTCTGGAGGCTGAGGCGGGAGGATTACTTGAGCCCAAGAGGTTGAGGCTGCAGTAAGCTGCGATCATGCCACTGCGTTTTAGCCTGGATGACAGTGAAAACCTGCTTTCAAAAAAAGAAAAAAAATCACTTTTCAGAAAATAATGTTTTCAATAGTTTTACTTTTGCTGGAAAATTATCAGTTTTGAATGTTTTTTAAAATTTTGTTGCATTGCTATTATGTAGTTATATAAATTGATAATTTGCATATATTATTTGATGCATTGTGTTTAATATTATATTAAAAGTTACTCAGCAAATACAGTTATAAGGTTAAATGTTCATAGCTGTTGTTTAAAAAGTTTATTTATTTATTTATGCGTTTTGGAGGGAGGATGGAGTTTTGTTCTCGTCGTCAAGGCTGGAGTGCAGTGGCATGATCTTGGCTCACTGCAACCTCTGCCTCCCAGGTTCAAGTGATTCTCCTGCTTCAGCCTCCTGAGTAGTTGGGATTACAGGTGCCTGCCACCACGCCCAGCTAATTTTTGTATTTTTAGTAGAGATAGGGTTTTACCATGTTGGCCGGGATGGTCTTGAACTCCTGACCTCAGGTGATCCACCCACCTCAGCCTCCAAAAGTGCTAGGATTACAGGCGTGAGCCACTGCAACTGGCTGAGATTTATTCTTTCATTTCACCCCTCTTAGGTGCTAACAGTCTTTAGATGCTGGAACAAGAACGCATTAAAAGAAGACAGTTACTACCCTTGAGGAGCACGCAAAACACTTGAGGTCAAGCAAAACATTTACACAAGTCACTATAATATTTCTCTCTTTGGGTCAGGGTTTTAGAAATGAGGGCCATATAATTTATCATTCAAAGCAGGGCAGTCTGAGTAAATGAGTGCTTTCAGGAATTGCACTGAGACAACAGGTACAAACAGGGATGGTTGTCCTCCCTAGTTCAGGGGCCGGCAAGGACTTGAAAGGAGAGATGGTACTTGAACCAGGTTTCAAAGGGCAAGCAGGATTGTGTTGGGCCCCCTTGGGGAAGGCCTTGGGGGAAGTTGAGGTGGGTGGAAGTAAGAGAGCACTTGGCACAGTGGGAAGGAGGGTGTCTAGGGCTGAAACCGAAAAGGCTGCCCTGGATCATGAGTCATTGTGTCCTGAATGTCACGCTAAGGAGTTTCGGTTGTATCTCCTAAAAAATGGGAACCTGGAAGGTTTTTTGGTTTTTGTTTTTTTTTTTTGAGACAGAGTTTTACTCTTTCTCCCAAGCTGGAATGAAGTGGTGCAATCTTGGCTCATTGCAACCTCTGCCCCCACTGCCCAGGTTCAACTGATTCTCCTGCCTCAGCCTCCCGAGTAGCTGGGATTACAGGCACCCACTACCACGCCTGGCTAATTTTTGTATTTTTAGTAGAGATGGGGTTTCGCCATGTTGGCCAGGCTGGTCTCGAATTCCTGACCTCAGGTGATCCACCTGCCTCGGCCTCCCAAAGTGCTAGGAATATAAGCATCAGCTACTGCACGCGGCCACCTGAAGGTTTTTGACAAGTCAGTTGTGGTAAGATTGCTGATTTTAGGAAGATACATCTGGTGAAGTGAATGCAGCCAGGATGTGGAGGTGGCAGAAAGAAGGACAAAAGGCTGTTGCAACAGTTAGTGTGGAAAGTGATTAGTAATGAAGTAGAGCAGAGGCTGTGGGATTGGAGAGAAGAGGCCAAGTTGAAGGATTTCACAGAACATGAAAGAGGACTTGACTTGGTGGCCTGTCCCCCAGTTTGAG